ACACAGACTCGGTAGCTGAGACAGAGACATAGAAATGATCATTCAAAGGATCATATAAATGGGTTACCTCAAGTAGACGACTTGGCGATGGGCACTTATTCCGTGAGTGAGGGAGGGAGGAATGCGCAATAAACTTATCTACACGTGGTGCACCATGGGCAGCATATACTCTTACGACAAAAATGTCGGCAAAACGGCAGTTGACTTCAAACTACCATGACTCCACTGTGTGTCGTATTCAACTACTTACACAGTACTCACCTTACCGTATTCTCAGCATTTATGTCCGTCTGTTATCAGCGACCATACCACGTAGAAAGCACCTGTTCTCGTCCGATCACCGAAGCCAAAACTACATCAGGCCGGGTTATTACTTGCATGGGTGACCGGCTGGGAATACCCGGTGTTACTGACTTTTTTGGGGTGTGCGATAGACTTATCTCCACGTGGTGCATCCTGGCCAACGTATATTCATACGACAAAAAAGTCTATTAACTGGCAGTTGGCTTCTCACTTCAAACTACCATCACCTCACTCTATGCCACATTCGATTATTTCCACAGTACTCACCTCACCTTTATTCCACCTTTGTGTCTGTCTCTTTTACATCTTTAAAACACTCTTCTGTCCCCCCCCCACTCTCCATTTTTTTTCGATTTGATGTTCCTCTCCCTCTGTGAAACCTGAAGTCAACTAAAGGGCTAATGATAACTATCATAAAGCCTGCCATTTGATATAAATAAATAAATATTTCACAATAATTGATTGTCTTGATTCAGAATTCGAATATCTCCGCTTGTGTTCAATTTATTTTTACTATTGAGGTGACATTTTATCAAAGTAATTCCCATATTTGTATTACATAGACCTAAATAACCTTGATAATCAATACATATTTTTAAAAATGGAACACTTTTCAGCTGCCCATAAGGTACATTTCCCTTTGTTATCCAAATAAACAAAATTTTATTTCTCCTTTCAGCTTTATTTTCAAAAATCCTTTTCTGGCTGAAGGAGAAATTTTGAAATGGCGTTCCATGATTACAATATTCTCTCAATGCGGGGTGTGCGATAGACTTACGTCCACGTGGTGCACCCTGGGCAACGTATACTCATACGGCAAAAAAGTCTATTAACTGGCAGTTGAATTCAAACTACCATCACCCCACTGTATGTCATATTCGTCTACTTCCACTTCAAACTACCATCACCCCACTGTATGTCATATTCGAAACTTCAAACTACCATCACCCCACTGTATGTCATATTCGACATCCTTCAAACTACCATCACCCCACTGTATGTCATATTCGACCTCTCAAACTACCATCACCTCACTCTATGCCATATTCGAATATAAAACTACCATCACCCCACTGTATGTCATATTCGACTATTTCCACAGTACTCTTCACCTTTTTTCTACCTTTGTGTCTGTCTCTTTTACATCTATGAAACACTTCACTCTATGCCATATTTGACTATTTTCACAGTACTCACTACCTTTTTTCTACCTTTGTGTCTGTCTCTTTTACATCTTTTAAACACTCTTTTGTTGTATGTCATATTCAACTACTTCCACAATAATCACCTCACATCTTTATGCCATATTCGACTATTTCCACAGTATTCACCTCATTTTTTCTACCTTTGTGTCTATCTCTTTTATATCTTTGAAAACGTTTTTTTACCTTTGTGTTTGTCTCTTACATCTTTGAAACATTCTTCTGTTCCCCTTCTCCCTCTCGACCTTTTTACAATTTGATGTTCCTTCCACTCTGTGAAGCATGAAATTAACTAAAGGGCTAATGACAATTATCAAGACGCTTGCCATTTGATATAAATGAATAAATGTCCGTCTGTCTCTTTTGCATCTGTTAATCACTCTTTTATTCCTCCGGCCTCGACTTTTTCTGATTTTGATTTTGTTACTCCCTTCTATGAAGAGGCCCTAAGTCATCTGAAGGGTTAGTGATAACTATCACAAAGCCTTCCATTTGATTTAAACAAATATCGGTGAGTGTCATGGTATTTCTCCAATGTTTGACTAGGCCGCGATGTCTCTGCTGAATCCTCGCCAGGTGATCACTAAACATTCCACGTTGTTGGAATTTAGAATTATATAAGCTATGGGAAAGATGAAGTCGTTTTAACAGAATACAAAATATTCAATTTCTTCCGATTATAACTTTCGAACTGAATTTTAAATAGTGCATTTAGTGTTATTTTTAAAGTGCATAGAGATCATATATATATATACATATATAAGCACCTGCTCGTATTGAGCATAGCACAACTGAGGCAGCAATCTTCCGAATCGACCAAAATGACAGTGCTAGAATTCCTGGAGCGTCTGAAACGATCAAAGAAAATAAGCAAAAAAAGAAAGCCAGGCTATTGCCGATGTAATTTTTCTCATTTTTCAAATTTGTTGTTCTAAATTTTAAATACGATATTTTTAATATATTTTATGGCAGCATTTTGTATTTTTAATCGAGAACTTTAAATAACTCCTAATTTTTTTATCAATTTTATTAAATCATTGTCGTTGTCGTTTTTGCTGATATTATTGTTTTTTGTTTTAATCAGTTCACAAAAACAGATGAACTCCATTTGAATGCAATTATACTTTAGCTTGCTGAAAGTACTATTTTATAAACCTGATTTATGCATCAGCAAATTTCATCTCATTTTCTTGTGATGATAATTTACTCAAAAGTTAAAGCATTTAATAAAAGCTAATTATGAATTTTCATATTTTTAGTCGTTTTTTCAAAGGCCTCAAAATACGGGCAGAAAAAAACAAGGATTCAGCACGTACCGAAGCCCTTACCTGAGAAGTGCAATACCAATGCCTACGCCGAAAAGTTATCAAGTTTAAGATTTGGTCAGACCAAATCCTCTCCACAAATCTACTTCGAGGTACCTTCCTCAGCACCGAGCGCACCCAATTCCCTAGATGGGATTGAAAGTCAATTCCCAATTCTCTCAGCCCTTTTGGATGAGGAGGATAATTGGGTGCCGCCGTCGAAAAGAAAGAAGACGGAGCCAACCCACGAGGAGGAAGGAGAAATATAAAAAAATGCCCTACTGGCCTAGAATTGTTGTAAAGGTGTAATAATTATGTTACATTAGTCATTGTAGATAGTATATATAATTGTTGCATTTTCCATACCGACTGTTTTCTTTCTTCAAGTCTCTGCAAGGGAGAGGGGTTAACTCTGCAGCGGTGCTACTACTTCTAACGCGACTCTGCTGTCGTTAGAAAGGTAGTATTGGTGATAATTAGATTTTAGGCAAAATTGCTTATCTTGCCTTAAAACCTTTTAGCCTCATAATACCCACTCCACTTAATCCCTCTTATATTCAAAGTTATTTATTTGGGTAATTTGCGTCGCTCGAGCAAAAAAAGATTTGAACCTGTTTTCCTATCGATTTTACACATTTGTAAGTAGCGTAAATTACAAAAGAAATGGAAGGCTTTGTGATAGTCATCATTGGCCCTTTAGTTGACCTCGGACTTCACAGAGGAGAAGGCAAAGACAAGGTCACAAAAAGCGGAGAGGGAGAACAGAAGGGTGATTGCGTTGTGAGACAGACATAGAGGTAGGGAAAAAGGTAAGTTGAGTGCTGTGAAAGTGGTCAAATATGATATGCAGTGGGGTCACGGTA